CGCCACCAGGGAGGGCCGAAACTCTTGGTTTTTTTATTTTGGTCTTTAATTTGGTATTGGTAACTTCATTATGAATGATGATTCACAAAGAAAAATCCAAAGCAAAACAATGAAGACTTCAATAAAACTTTTTCCCTTCAATTCAGTTCAAAGAGGAAAACAAAGAGATGGCATTGAGCCAGCACCATCTCTCCCGGCATCTTTCGTAGCATCATTCAGCACGTGTAATGGTGCAGGTGACATAGGCACACTCTCTGCTCTCTGTTAAGGTAGCCTCCTGTCCTTCCCAAAGGCCGTGACTTGAGGAGCTGCTGTTTCACACACTAGTTCATCTGGGGCTGGGGGGGGTGGTGGTGGTGACAGGTGAGGGGGTGTAGGTCAGAGTTGTTCTGGCATCCTGAGGGTCCCCAGGGATGTTGGGTCTTCACTTGACTAGTCCCGAAAAGCAAGTGGCACTTGTAGCAGTGGGAGCCCACAGGCAGGACAGATATCTAGACCTGAAGTCCTGTCAGGTGTAGCTTCAGGCTGCATAGACTTTCTCTCTGGGGTGATTTGAACATGGTCCGGACTCTCATTAGGCAGGGCCCCGCTCTGTGACAAAGACTCAGAGCACAGTGCATGCCAAGTGCACCACTGAAAGCACAGAGCCTGAGACTGCTGAAGTAGCCATGAGCCAAAATTCATCCTCTGGCATTACAATGACATTGCACTGGTCAGAATTGAATTTAAGTTTTACAAACTTCAACTAACTTAGGGGACAACCAAGTACTAGAAGAAAAAGAAAAAATAACAACTATTCTAGAAACAAAATGACTATAGAATCTCTTCGCCCCCCCCCCAAGATTTATTCATTTATGCATACAGAACTGGGATACTGGCCAGAGGAGCAGGGATGGTGAGAGGATTCACCAGAGACAGAGTGGGAGCAGAACAGGCAGATCAAAGAAGTACACTGCTGAGGGGAGCAGCGGGCTGGTCAGGAGAGGTCTGCCGCGCCATGTGGTCACCTCTGGGGCTGAGGATTGAACTCGTGAAGTTACTGCGTCTAGCGTCATAGTGCTGTGCTTTAACCCATTGTGCCACCAGGGAGAGCCTTTGTTTTTTAACACCTAGTTAATTCTATGCTGCCCAGATTAGGCCAGCAACCAAGTTTTTCTCTTGGCATCCTCAGCTCTGGGTTTAGGAGCGGCTAGCAAGGTTTCTAGAACTGTGCTGCCCACTCCTCTAATCCCTCCCCTACAGGCTCCTTTAGGCATCTCTCATGTCATCAAAGTGTAGTGCTAGTTTGACTTTCTACTCATATACAGGTGAGTCTGGTGGTCTCAGAAGCCTCAGTTTTTCTACTCCACACTTAATGTTTAGCTTGCAGACAAAATCGACAATTGTGTCCTGGTCTGGGAACCCTCCACTACTCCAGTATCTCTGGCATTTGAATTCTCTCTTCAAATATCTGATTCACCAATAATCTTTTGGAAGATAAATCCATGAGCCAAAGCAGGAATTCAAAAGTACAAAACCAGTTTCATTGTGACTTCGGGGCATGTTTTGGTATTTTACAACTTTCTGAGTTTATTAGCATTGATGTGTTGGGCTAAAAAAAAATTTTTTTAATGGCATTGTTTTTTTAAGTGGGCATAGACCCATCCCACAGGATTCTGGATAGTAGCAATAAGCAAGCAATCAGAACTGTGTTTATCTGTCTTTGTCTAGGACTTCATTTGTAAAACAGTCAAACAAGTTTTAGTGCACCTGCCTCAGGACACTCATGAAGACTAAATGTGGCCTTAAGTAGAAAAACTCCTATAAACCCCAGACCTCCATGTACTAAAATGGGATACATTGTGATAGACATCTTAGGCCCCCAAACAAAGGAAGAGGTGACGTTTCCTATGTTTGATAATGAAGCAATAGTCCTTACCTTCCACCTCATCTGGAAGCTCTCTTAATCTATACTCCCATTAAAGGACGCGTCACTCTCATTTCTTTCCATCCACTATCCACTCACATGACAGGAAAAACATGATGTGCATTGTTATCTCACTGTTAGTAGTGAGGAAAAATATTTACTAATAATAATTGCATTTGCACACTTAGTTGCAGTTTACAAAATGCTTTTAAATATAGCTCTTCCTTGAAACATCAAAAAAATGTTGGGCATATTTTTATCCCCATTTTGCAGAAGAGAATCTTTGAGGTTATGTAAATTTCCCAAGGTCATGTAATTTGTATGTAGCAGAGATAACATCAGTTTAGCAAAGAAGAAATTCTTGGGACAAATTAATTCATAGAATCACATTTTCCTCTGCCCACAAAGGAGAATAACATGGAAAGGAAATAATAAACATAGTTACAACCACCTTTATATGGCAGGTGGAAGTGGGGAGTGCCAGAGCCCCTGGAAAGAAATGCAGGCCAGAGAGAACTCCTGACTGTTGGAGACTCACTTTCCTGCATGAAGGACCCATCACTCTTAAGAGGAACTTGAACCAAGGCGGGGAGGATTGTAAGAGGGGAATGAAAATTTTTCTTCTGGGTCTGGAGATAAGCCAAGCAACTGTGTCAAGCCCAGTTCTTGCAAAATTTTTACTCTAGGATTTCAGACAGTAATTCCAGGGTCAGGGAAAACCCCAATGGTGTGAGCCAGGAAGCTGGGGCTATGGGTGCAATTCCCATCATGACCACAAGGTGATGCAGTGACCGTGGATATCTCTTCTGGAGTTAGAAAACTTACGTAAAAATAGGGCTTTAAACATCAATCCAGAAGACCTCTACAAACCCAAGAAATACCGATTTTTTCCCCCCATATCAGACTCCTGATTCCTTTTAAGTTCTGGGCTTTTCTGTTCCTTCACAAGATAAAACACTTTAGGCTCTGGAATTCATACTTAAGCAAAAGTCACTTAACCTCTTTAAACCTCAGTTTCCTCATTGGGAACACATAGTTGATGATAGCACCACATTGATGGGGTTGTTATGAGGATTATAGGAACAATAAATGTACGCTACGAATATTTTGCTTTCCCTCTTGCCCATTCGCCAGTTAATTATATAGGAAATTTGAGAATCATGGGTATGAAGAAAAGGAGGTACTTGTCTCTTTCCCCCATTCTGATTCTGCATTGACCCTTTAATACCACAGGATGTCACTGGTCCCCTCAGACACCTGATATTTATTTGGGGTTAATGGGAGAGGCCAGCCTATGATGAGGCAAAGCATAAAGGCAGTTATAATGGTGACAGAAATTGGAGGCCATATAAGGAAATCTGACTCAGGACTATAGATTCCAGATAAACAGCAACTCAAAGGCCATCACTGAATTCCTGTCTTCATCATTTTCATTTATTTTACAGGTGTCTTGACTGCACAGTTTTACCTGTAGAGTAGGGAGAATATCAAGTCAGAGAAACATGCTGAGTTAACAAAAAAAGGCTCCAGTAATAGTTGTACAGTAGTAAACAATGAATTAATCATTTGCTCCACTCTGCATTTTCAATCTTTCAGAACTGAAAAGTAATGAATCATTCTAAACTG